GCAAGAAAAAACATTTCCTATAACAACTGTATGGCCCAGCTCTTCACTGCCCACTTGCTGGCGGGTGTGGAGATACTCATCTTGGTGTCCATGGCTTTAGACCGCTACGTTGCCATTGTCAAGCCCCTGCACTACATGGTCCTCATGAACCGGCAGAGGTGTAACATGTTGGTCTTCATGGCCTGGGGTGTGGGTTTATGGCACTCTGTTGCTCTATTGCTCATGGTACTCAACTTACCTTTCTGTGGTCCTAATCAGATCAATCACTACGTATGTGATGTGAAGCCTCTTTTGAAACTGGTCTGCAAAGACATTCATGTTGTTAGTATCTTAGTGATTGCAAACTCAGGAATGGTGGTGGTTGTCATTTTTCTTATCCTGGTGGCTTCTTACATTCTCATATTATATAATCTTAGGACATATTCCTCCATAGGGAGACGCAAAGCTCTCTCCACCTGCAGCTCTCATATTATGGTTGTAGTTTTATTCTTTGTGCCCTGTATCTATATTTACATTCTACCTGCAGGGAGTGAGAACAAGGATAAGGAAGTTTCTGTGTTTTACACTGTGATTGCCCCCATGCTGAATCCTCTCATCTATACCCTGAGAAACATGGAGATGAAAATCGCCATGGGGAAGGTGTGGTCTAAAATGGCACATTCAGAATTTAAGAGGCTGATTTTCATTGTGCTTTCAGTCCTGTGTCCCCAGAGCATTGACCACTTGCGATCCCATAGAAAGCATATGAGCTCTCTTTGGGGAGCTGGACTAAAGAGCCTCTGAAGTTAGTATGAGCCAAAGAAGCAAGTCATTGTAATTCAGATTGCAATCTGCACTTTAAAGAGTCCAGTTAGTTCCAGTTGTGAGCACTTGGATTTGATGAATTCAAGAAATGCCCTTCCATAGCTCATCTCTGATCAAATCACTGGTCACTCAAGAAAATCTATATGGATCTCTATTTTCCTTGAAACAAAATCCAACCTTCTCACTTGTTTATCATAAATGTCCCTAAATTGGTTCAGCTCTGGTACTATCAGAGGCCATAACACTGGAAGAAAGTATGGTGTTAAAATGACAGGCTTTGGAGTCAGGGAGAGCTGGGTGACATATTGACTCTTCAAGTTTTTATCTCTGGATCTTTTTTTTTTTTTAAAGATTTTATTTATTTATTAGAGATCACAAATAGGCAAAGAGGCAGGCAGAGAGAGAGAGGGGGAAGCAGGCTCCCTGCTGAGCAGAGAGCCTGATGTGGGGCTTGATCCCAGGACCCTGAGATCATGACCTGAGCTGAAGGCAGAGGCTTTAACCCACTGAGCCACCCAGGCACCCTGTCTCTGGGTCTTGGCAATTTGATTTAATTATGCATGTGTCCATGAAATGGGGTAATATTATAGCTCATGATATATGCATGGTTCTTACATATCTAGAAGTTGTCCTTGTGTCATGAACAATCATGTATTAACCATAAGATAAGGGATGTCAAAAAGGCTAAGAATTTAACGTATAATCCCATGTGCCTATAAAGGATATAATGAAATTAGCAGACCACCAGATGCATAGAATAGTTTTATTTTTTTTTTTATTTTCTGTATTAAGGCGGCACTACTCCCTTAATTATTGGTTACCTCTTTGTCCATTGATCATATAACATAATCTCAACTCTGTGTTTCCAATCATTTCCAGTCTCTCTCTGCCCAGAATTTGTCTTTTCTCAGCAGAATGATTTCATTGCTTCCACACAAACTTAGCTTGATTCAGTTACTTCTTCTCCAGAGTCAAGGCAAAAATCAAAGATAAGTCATGGAGGTAGTAGGTATTATCTTAGTGTCTGGCACCAGTTTTTTGATGTTTCAAATCTTAGGAACTTTTACATATATAACTAATATTTTCTTTTTTCCTACTAGACCCATGAAAGCCTCCAGAATATGATAGGAAAATATTTTGTCTGTCCTATAGGAAATTGGCTTTGACAGCTTATTCATCTCTCTGTTTGATGGCTTAATGTAGACTTTGGCAAAAGTATTTTGGATTTTTTATTTTTAAGTATACAAATGCCATGTGTCTCTGTGTGTGTGTGTGTGTGTGTGTGTGTGTGTGTAATGACTGTGCCTGTCCATGTGTTGTTTTGGGACTCTTGGGGCTCTTGGAATATTTTAGCACAGGTCAGGGAAATTCCTATCCCATCAGAAAGAATGCTTTGCAACAAAATTTAAGTATATGTAAGTACATAAATATATATGTATATATATAAATATGTGTGTGTGTGTGTATATTATTTATACACATATATTTTTTTTCTATTCTTTTTTCAAGGGTCCAAATGTTTTATTGGCAAAAAATGGATGACATTGTATTTAAAGCTGACAAAATATAACAAATTAAATCACTTATCAATTTATTAATAGATTCCATTCATCTACATAAGAATTTACTGCTTATTTAAAATCTCCTTTTTTTTATTTATTTATTTGACATACAGAGATCACAAGTAGGCAGAGAAGCAGGCAGAGAGAGAGGAGGAAGCAGGCTCCCTGCTGAGCAGAGAGCCCAATGCGGGCTCGATCTCAGAACCCTGGGATCATGACCTTAGCCGAAAGCAGAGGCTTTAACCCACTGAGCCACCCAGGTGCCCCAAAATCTCATTTTTAATTAAAGGAATATCTGTCATCAACAAAGAAATCTGTTACACAGCTTCTTTCTTTATGCCCCAGAGTTATCAGAAAACACCAGGCTGGAAGAAGCTTAAATACCTTGTCAGGGGCCTAAGGGGAAGACCAGAGGCCCAAACTAGCTGTGGCTGTAAGAGTTTTATGTGACTCCCTGCCCCAACCCCCCTCCTAATCCTTCACTGTGCTCAACCCTATATTTGTCCACAGGCATCCATTGTGAGGGCTGATTCAGTTACTGTACCTAAATCATCCACTAAGAGATATTTAGTAAAATTAAAATGGTCTCAAAAAGTTGATGATTTAGGGGAGGAGTCAAGATGGTGGAGAAGTAGCAGGCTGAGACTACTTCAGGTACGGGAGATCAGCTAGATAGCTTATCTAAAGATTGCAAACACCTACAAATCCAACGGGAGATCAAAGAGAAGAAGAACAGCAACTCTAGAAACAGAAAATTAACCACTTTCTGAAAGGTAGGACTGGCGGAGAAGTGAATCAAAAGCGACGGGAAGATAGACCGCGGGGGGAGGGGACGGCTCCCGGCAAGCGGCAGAGCAACGGAGCACAAAATCAGGACTTTTAAAAGTCTGTTCCGCTGAGGGACATCGCTCCAGAGGCTTAACCGGGGTGAAGCCCATGCAGGGTCAGCGTGGCCTCAGGTCCCGCAGGGTCACAGAAGGATCGCGGGTGTCTGAGTGTCACAGAGCTTACAGGTATTAGAATGGGGAAGCCGGCTACAGAGACAGAGCTGAGTAGTGAGCTCTAAGCTCGGGGTTACC